CAGTAGGTTGTGCGCAGTGAGACTTAGAGGTTCGTGCAAAGTAAACAGCGGTCGCTCCGATAAACGAAACCTGTTTGTCGTTTCGACGGACTGCAGCCTAGATGCAGTCAAAGATGAATTTTATCATATCTTACACGACCTCTTACGTAAAGCGAGTCGAGCTGATATCGTGATTTTAGCAGGAGATATGAATGCTAGAGTAGGTCGGCTGGCTTCGAGTGAGGCGCATCTGGGTGGTCCTTTCGGACCAGATTCCTGTCGCTCAGAAAACGGGGAACGGCTGTTGGCTCTCTGTTCCAAGCACCGCCTATTCCTCGCCAGTACAAACTTCAGGCTCTCCAACTGCCGGTACGCCACTTGGCGTCCGCCCTCCTCGAGTCAGAAACGGACGCGAATCTATCACATCGCTCTAAGCTACAAATGGTGGGTCTTATACAAGACTGCCGATCGTACAGGAGCACTCCCCTCGAATCGGACCACGCGTTAGTTTACGCCAGACTGTCCATGCGCTTCGGNGATAAGTTGTCTTAACCAGCACGCCTAACTGTCTTTCAGAACGCACTAGCTGAAAAGCTAGAGTCAACCCCCACTCGATGACGTTAATCAGCACTGGTCGCCTATCAAGAATACTCTGAATTCTGCTGGCTTAGTTAGTTGTGGCCTGACACGTCGAGCCGCGACACCCTGGATTTCTGCGGAATCTCTACGTTTTCTTGACACACACCGATCAATTCCGACCGGCAGCAAGCATAATGAAATACGACGAGCAACGAGTCATAACCTCAACATAAGTCTACGCAGAGACCGCAAGATTTGGTGGACTCAAGGAAGGGTGTACATCGCTGCGGTCCGTAGTGTTCTGTTTTACGGTTGCAAGACGTGGCCTTCGAGCGGAGGATGCCATTTGACTTTCTGTATTCGACCACTGATGTCTCCGAAGCATTGCTCGTGTCTGGTGGGAACATCGGGTGAGCAATAATGAGGTCCGTCGTCGTGTGTTGGGCTCGGATTCTCGTTCCCTAGTAGAAGTAATTGCTGTCCAGCGCTTTCGATGGCTTGGCCATGTTTCGCGTATGCCTGCCCATCGTCAACCTTTCCGTGCTCTTTTTACACGTGCCGGGACAAGGCTGGAGGAAGCACCGCGACGGTCAGACCATGACATGGCGTAGAGGTATGAAGAAGCCCGGTTCATCTCTGGCTTCGGTTGGGGTCCAAGGGATGAGGATTTTCGTTGGTTAGAGAGGCTGCGAGATATGGCCCGGAATAGAAGTCAGTGGTGCGAATGTTATACGGTCTGCCTGTCGAAATCCCGTGCCCGGTAAAAACAACAAATAACAAAAAAAAATTCAAAAAATGTACGGTGAGGCACAAAAGATTGTTATTCCACTTATTCGTAATCTTCTATTGTGACAGTTACGTCTTTTTCCCTATACTGTTTATCCCAACCTCCCCCCCCTGCGTTATTGTTTTGTTAATATTGCTGTGGCGTTGGCACCATGCTTGTTCTCAAGCTGGTGTTAAATACATTAAATACATACAACCCAAGACATCAACTCTCTTCCATACTTAAACTTTCGGAGAGTCTATACAGTTCGAGAACTTACATTTGGTGTTCGTGCAACACAAACGAAGATGTTAGTAGATTTTTTCGGGAACTCGTTGATAGCTACTGTTGGTTCTCCCAGATTTGTTAAGGAATACCATCTCTTTTCTCCTGTTTTTCCACGGCGATACAAAGTTCCCATGTCCTCTAAAGACTTTTTTGCCAAGGGCCTGACGCCTGTGGGTGGTGTTTGAGACACAGATTCAACTACGCCAATGGGTTTGAGGAGATCTGAATGCACTCGTCAATGAACTCATCAGACGGCTCCGCCACAGCTGGCTACGTACGGAAGATAATCAACTTATGTTCGTATAGTGCGATTGACCCCGGGGTCTGTTCGTATCGTCCCATTGGATCACAAACATCAATTTTCAGTTAAATACAATATAGCGAACAAGAGTTGATTTCAGTACTTCGTCATCACTAAGGAATATATCAATTTATTTCACTAGGATAAATAAAGGGAAATGGCATACACAATCACTTGGAAAAATACGTTATCCCCTGCTCAACATGGGTTTCGTCGCAGGCGATCGTGTACCACTAACTTGCTTCTGGCCCGAGAAGAGTGAACAAAAGCAGCTGATCACGGTGATGCAGTGGACGACGTGTACCTCGACTTCTCCAAAGCATTCGATCGAGTGAACCACAAAATATTGCTGAGGAAACTACACAACTACGGAATTCGGGGACTTGTACTGGGCTGAATAGAAAAATTTCTTCGACAACGCACCATGGCAGTTCGGGTTTCTGGTTCACTTTCTGATCCGATCAGCGTATCACAAGGAGTTCCACAGGGATCCGTGCTGGGCCCTTAACTTTTCCTTGTTTTTGTAAACGACGTAACGGACATTCTTGGGCCACATACATTAATGTTTACAGACGATGCAAAAATATGGAAAACGGTGACAAAAACACAGGACGCGCTAGAACTCTAAAGAACACCTATCAATGGTTGATCGAAAATGACATCGAATTTAATGCATCAAAATGTACGATCGTACCCCTTCGACACAAAATTCGGTTTCCCTATTTCTAAGGAGAACAACAACTTCCGTACGTCTCGAATGAGAAGAATCTCGGCGTCATTGTTCAAGACTACCTAAGCTGTTCTTTAAACTGCTCCCGGGCGTCGTCTACCGCTGTACGATATGTTGGTTTGCTAAAACGAGTATTTGGCAAATTTGAACCTACGCTGTTCCCACAATTGTTATCAGCCTACATTCGACCCCACATAGAGTACGCCATTCCAGCGTAGAATGCAACGCGATCAGAAGATTCTGGAACGTCCACAAAGAATGGCTACCAAAATGGTCAAAGGACTGCATTCCAATAGTTATGCGGAAAGACTGGAAGCACTGCAACTGTACTCCACGCAGTATCGTCGCATTCGAGGAGACTTGATCTTGGTTTACCAAATAATGCAGAACCCAGACCATCCATGTCGTCCACTCTTTTCCTTGTCGCCCNCAACACTCACCTGCGAGGGGCACTCATTCAAATTAGTGCTCCAAAAATGCCGACTAGAATGCCGGCGTCATTCAATCGCCCTCAGAGTGTGCATTACTTGGAATTCTCTACCACCACACGTTGTTTCTGTGCCCACAATTGATTCATCCAAGCACAAACTGGATAAAGCTTTGAAAAGTCTTAAATTTCAACATCCGTAGAAGCGCACGAAAAAATGAAAAATTGTGACATTCGTCTACTTCGTATGAACTGTGATCCGATTCATCTGTGCCAAATCCTATGGGACTAAAAAAGCAACCGCTTGTTAGTATTTCCCATAATAAAACTTTGGTCGGATGAGTGGACAAACAAACATGTGATCGTGGTGAACCCGATTTCCGGTCTCACGATGAAATCGGTTTTAGTAATCTGTTTTTATTTTATTTTATTTTCCCATGACAATTTTATTCCCAAGTAG